TTTTCAGAAGCCGCGTCCGCTGTGCGTAGCGACCCGCCTTTAGAACCCCGAACGGCAAGCGCCCTGATGCACACAGGGAACGCAGGGTTGTTCCCGGTGCAGACCGAAGCCCGGGGCGGGAGTGGGACTTGGAGCCCGGCGTGCCCGGTTGGGGGGTGGTGTAGTGGTGGGTTGGGTGGGCGTAGGGGCCGAGAGACTGCTGCGGGGGTCGCACCCTCGGCCTCAGCGCCAGGTCCCGAGCTGTCGCAGAGCAGGGGCAACCCCAGTCAGACAGAAGGCCCAGGCCACTGTGCCCAGGCCGACCCCTTACAGCACCTGAGCCCAGGGCCTCCAGACAGGATATAACACTGACTGAGCGTCTGGGTTTACACCGAGCCTCCTCTCACACTGGAAGGCGTCCTGGGCCCCACTTGGAAGCACCTTCTCAGGTGAGGGGCGTCAGGATGTGCCTGGTGGGTCTCCTGCTCCCAGATAACCACAAACCCCCGAGAGGCAGCACAGGGCCTGGATGAGGGGAACCGGGGTAGCTGACCCTCAGCACTGCCCCACACCAGGGGTCCCGAACGTGGTCTCCCCGCTGGGGAACGGAGGAGCACAGGCAGAGGGATGGGGCTGTGGGGCCCGGGCCTCCGCCCTCTTGAGCCCAGAAGCGTGTGCTCACCCACAGGATGGGACCCGTCACACGTGATGGCTGAGGGGCAGGAGGCCTGGGACACACATGCTGTGTCCACCCCAGGAACCCGCCATATGACGGTGCGGATGCCACACGAGATGACACGTACCCTGCCCTGCAGCAGCTTGAGGTGGGGACTGCTATTCCCCAAGGGGGCGTCCCCCTCACACCCCCATACAGGGCTGTCCCGTCTCACCGAGTGTCCCCTGACAGGGTGTCCCCCCGTCTCAGGGCTGGGCCACCCCGTCTCAGGGCGTCACCTTCGTTCTGGGGCTTCACCAGGTCCAGCATCTGGCAGAGACAGTCCTCGAAGGGCAGGGCCTCAATGGCCATGCTGTCCAGCCGTCGGCACTGCTCCTCGTAGAAGTATTCCAGCTCGTACATGGACAGTGCCCCGTCCCCGTCCAGGTCCATGCAGCGGAACCAGTACTCGATGCTGCGGTCACAGTGGGCTGCGCTCAGCACGACGCTGGACAGACCTCCTGGGAATGACCTCCAGCCAGTGTGAACCCCCCTACCCAGAGACAGACCCCGGGGAACCACCTCCACCCAGTGTGAACCCCCTCAGGGACAGACCCTCCCCCCTGGGGAACC